CATACTTTTTTCCTTCCCTCTGAAAGAGAGACATTAGAAACAAAGTATGTGTGAGGCGTGACTGGGACCCAGATTAACCAAAGCCTGCTTCCAGGTAGACTGCAGGGTCCATGTTGTGTCTCCTGGCCACAATCTTAGGAGACCAACACTCAGCTGCCCTGCTACCCTACCCTTCAATGTCAGTCTTAGGGTGAAGCTAAACCAACTTCTAGGCCTCAATCACAGGAGAGCAAAAGCCAGCAAAGGACTGGCTGCCCCAGCCCAGATCATTCCCAGGCAGATTCTCAGGGTTCTCTAAAGCCCCTGGACTGTGCCATATGCTACCAGGGTGATAGGTTATTGAGATGCAAGGCGCCCTCTCCTTACCATAAACCTCCCCCGTGCCCCCCCTTCCCAAGCAGGCTGGTAAGGTACCAGTCAGAATGGCAAATAAAGAAGACAACGGGAAAACTGCTCCTCCTGGCCCTTGGTATTTCTCAAGAGAAACAGGAAGGAGTAGCACCTGCAAGAGCTCTCACACCCTTCCTACTCCAGACCCTGAACCGGCACTAAAGTGCTGACCGCCAAGAAGATGGCAGGGTGTTTGCTTGGTGCAGATATTCTTCTACTACTTCCCAGAAGCAACATAGCAGCCACAGTTCAGAGTCCTTCCCAATCCCCCTACTGGCCTGGCCTGAGTCGGATTAAGGGAAGTGATTGCTGTCCTTAAGCAACAGTGCAATGGAGTCAGAAGGCTCTGCTCTAAGCCTTCTGCCCCAGGGTCCTCCTTACCTTATATATTAGAGCTGAGAGAGAAGGATCCCTGCCGCCCCCTCGCCCACCGGGGATCTTCGACAGTGGGTGAGGGGCATCAGGAGCACCACAGAGGCCCTGGAACAATGTGCCTGCAGCACTGGAGCTGGGGACAGTTACTCAAAGGCAAAATACTACTGCAAGAGATGGAGAATGTGAGAGAGTGAACACCAAGACGTAAAGATTTAACCAACATCCCACCCCAATCCCTGCCCTGGCTCTCCCTAAGCAACTGCTCTAAGGCTACACCACTGGGCCAGTCCTTAAGGCTTCAGCTTTCAGAACTACGTCTGCTCTTAAAGGGCAGGAACCCACCGTCCTGCAGAGGCACAGGGAGTCCAGCTGGATATGTGACCAGAAGAGCACACCTGTCAAACACCAAACAGATCTCGGTGGTGCTGCAGACCTTGGGAGGAACCAGATCCTGGCCTGCCTGCTAGGCTGAGCCCTATACCCTCCAGCAGCCCCTTTCCTTACCCAGCAGGGTCCCAGCAACCCACGTGGCCAAATCACAAAGCCTACACAATTACTTTAGGCTGGAGAGCATATGGGCCTCAGGAGTCACGTGGGCTGGGTACCACGCACTGAGGAACTCCCAAGGCCACTTTTCCAATGATGGCCTCCTCCCTGATCTAAACAGAGTAACTGGACAGAAATAACTTACCCAAATCCACCTAGGGTTGAGAACTGAATTACATCCAGGGATTTGGCTCCCAGAGAGGAGGTGCACCATAGTACAGGGTATTATGGTATCTTGAATATTATGGCATTTTGGTATGCCATCAAATGCTGGGCTTCCTTGCCTTTCTTTGCTAGAATCTGACCTGGCATGGGAGTTTAGGTAATGTTTATATGGTCAGAATGGATACTCAAGTGTGTATATATTAGGGGGTGGGAGATTGCTGGGAAGAGATGCACATGCTGGAAGCCAATAATCATCTCGAGGTACGTGCCCTTACTGGCCACCATGATTTTTAGGTGGACCCAACAGGGCTCCAAATTTGCTCCACTGCCTTCTTTGAATCCAATTTAATGGCTCCTTAGGCTGACATGTAGCTCAGTCCACAGGCCAAGGGCAAGTGAAACAATGCAAGAGGTGAGTTGTCTGTGCATGTACACCATGATTCAGCCAGCTCACCCGACTGTGCACATCTCTTCCCAGCTGGGTGTTTAACGATGTCACGTTGGCAGCTTGAATCAACTATAGGGAAGTATTACACCCCGGAAATCAACAAATGCTATAAATCAAGGCTTTCTTCCCCCCTGAAAACCAGTGGTAAAATAACATGAGGCACCATTCTTCATTCTGTCCTTTGCTTTATATGGCATTGCATGCCAGACTGGGGGTTTTCACTTCGGCTCAGAGTGACAAAGCTGAACTCACATCTAATCTGGCAATGGTACAATAACCAAAGGACCAGCCCCCTGAGACCCTCAGAGACCTGTGTAAGCATTCCAGCTGAGACAGGAAGTCCAAACCCATCACTACTCTAGCTTGGCTCCTCTGTTCTCAAGGATTTCAACAGGGGGCCTGAAATTATACTTGGAAGTTTCATTGGGAGATGACATTCCCAGGGCAGTGTCAGTGGGCCCAGAAAAACATCAATACCTGCGGGTGATAACCACATGTACCACCTCCTGCCTCCTCCCGAAAGTCTCAGGGCATTCTCATCTCCCGCCACTCTTGGCCTCACTGAGAGATACTAAGAAAGGGGGCATGACTGAGGACTATGCTACTGTTTTCAAGGATGGGATTTATTTTCTACTAGGGACAATGAGTTGTTAATAATCCCCCCTTCCAGTGTGTTAAGGGAGAAGATTTCCCCCAAGCAAAGGCACACGCACAGCCCACATGACACTGTTTCCTTCTCATTCCCTAGTGACCACTTCAGGCCTCGGAAAAAAGCTGGCTTGCTTGTATTGGTCAGTGGAGCTACTGAGTACTGGACAAACCTCCTATGGGGTAGACAGATGAGATGTGGCCTCATACACCAGAACTGTGTGGTTCACAAAACAACCAGATCCCCAAGGAAGGCCCTTGCAATTCTAGAATTCTGGTGCTAGGTCACTTAACTTCAATACTCCTAGTTCCAGAGAAATTATTCCTCAATGGTTGTAGATGGGAGAGCTACATTCAACTCCTGACTTGCATTCCAACCACCATCTTGATTCTGAGCTAATGTTTACTTGCAAATGGCAGAGACAATGGAGCTAACCCACTGAAAAGTCCAGAATAAGGTGGGTTTTTCTTTTTATAGATTCAGAATCCCCTCCATCTTCCTAGAATGAATCCCTAGGGCCTCCCTGTGGCTAGCACTAATGTATAAGTTAATGATATGTCTGGTATCCTGATTTCAATCCTCTTCAAATAAATGCAAGAAGTCTATTCCATGGTAACAAATTATTTACTTCCCCAATCACACACAACGGTACTGGGAACTCTTTCCTCCCCCACAAAATCTATAGAGAAAGCAAGCGTAAGTGTGTATGAAGTAGGAGTGGAAGGGTGTTTCAGGCCCCCACGTGGGTATCCAGTTCCAGAAGAGAAACAGCTGGGGTTGGGGCTGAGCTTAGTAGGGAGATCACAATAATTATCTTCATCGTATATCATAATAGATCTGTTTTTAGTTACTTGCTGTGAATGGCAAATAGGTTTTTTACCTGATCGTCATTTCTAATGTGAGAAGGGAAGGGAGAGGGGTACGAATGTGGTGGTTAAAGAAATAAAAGGGCATAAAATTGCCAGCAATGGCCTTCTCTTCTTGTACTGACTTTAGTGTTCAAAGGGTATTGAGGCAAAATATGCCACCAACTTCAATAGAAAAAGTGGATCTGGAGGAACTTAAGCACAAGAGAAAGTGGCTTCTAAACACAAGTCTTCCTGTCACAAGATCCAAACCAGATTAGATTTCATATTCAGTTTAGTCATGTTTCTACTGGTTCCAATGCCCAGCTCTTTCCACTCCTTCCTCACATCCTGCTCACTCCACTGGGGGGCAGGACTGGTTTAATCTCTATCACCAAAAGGATAATTTAACAAACTCAGTCTAGAGGCTGAAAAGATCATGGCTGATTAAGAAGAATCAAATGTATTAGACTGAACCTAAACATCCAGCATAGCTGGTCCTGCTTTTGGAGAAGAAAAAACTATACCACTCTGGAAATGAGGGTGTCAGGTATCCAAGTCAATTCAGAAGAGAGACGGGAAATTAGAGCTGATCTGTTAGTCCCTTTATTTTCTCAGTTATTGGACAGGACCTTGGAAACACTCCTCAGGATACACGTGAATGCTACCAACATATCACATCCTGCTGCCTCTAATTTAAAGCATTCTGTGACTGTTCTCTGAAATGTGCTTAGCAGGTTATAATTTCATATACTGGCTACAGACAGGCAGTGTATGGAGATGTATTCCTGGGGAATGCTGCTGGTAAATCAAATTTTTATCATTCAAATCCTATTTTTAAATCTCTAGGGTGCTTACTATTTAAAGAAAGTAATCTTAAGTCTTTTGATAAAATAAAGAATCTCCTACCAAAATCACTTCTAGTTGACTGTCATGTGTTTTGGTTTTGTTGGTGTGTGTTTTTTTATTGATTTTTAGAGAGGGAGGAAGGGAGAAAGAGAGAGAAACATTGATGTGAGAGAGATACATCAATTGCTTGCCTCCTGCACGTGCCCCGACCAGACATTGAACCCACAACCTAGGTATATGCCTTGACCAGAAATCAAACCCACGACCTTCCGGTGCACAGGACAACGCTCCAACCAAATGAGCCATACCAGCCAGGGTGACTATGTCAGTTTTAAGCAAGGTATAGCCTGCTACATAAAGATTTAATGTAAAAGTAATTCTGTGGCTAACTTCTATTCGGCTAAATCTAACAAAGACTTGAATTGATATTCTCCTTCATATATTTTGACCATGTTTTACTTGAATCAGTGGCTTGAGCTTGTTCAAGTCTGCACCCTTTCTCTCTGGTTTCTATTACATGTCAGAGGAGGGTCAGATGGCCTTGCTATTACTACCTTGTGGTATCAAGTGAAAAGACATCAAAACCACATTCCCAAACATTCTGCATTCATTCCTCCTTTCTCCTCTTCTGACCCATTCCTGTCTCTGGCTCCTTAGAACACTGCCGGGCCCTGACTCCCTCATACAAACTGCTCTGACTCTGAGACTTGGAAGGTCTCTGATGACTAGTTCCTACACAAAGAGGGACCAAACCAGGGCTGCCGACACACTTAGCTAAAACGAAATATGAAGAATGGTGGGAGGTGATGGCCACCTCCAGTCTAGTGTGTGTGTAGAGGCTGATTTCCAGCTGCCAATCCCCTTTCCATATGAGAAAGGGGCCCTGGTTAGATGCCAGGCATAAGTCATTTCAGTAGGGCTGTGCTGTGTGCCAAAGGGAGTCTACTTGCTAAGCATGATTTTAAAGAAAATGACATCACCACTCTGAATCATAGACTGAAATCAAAACTGGGTTTTGGTTGATTCTCCACAAGAAACACAGTGGCCAGCTAGAATATCTGTGCCTCTGAGGTCTGCTTATTACACAGATGATACTGTTACATCTTCTGCCAAAGGTGGGCACAATTACGTTTGCTACCAGAGACTGGTGGGTAGCTAGGTAATCATGCTTTAAAATAAGACCTTAAATTTACATTTTAAGTACCTCAATCTACTTTGTATAGTCAAATCATCACCCAGTTCCAGCCTCTTCCAAGGATAGAATCACTTCATTGTTTATATAGTATCAAAGACCTAGGAAATTTTCTTAAGGCTTATCTGAAAGCATTTTATTCTGCTGCTGCTAATGTTTACTTCAAGTAACAAAATTTTTGCTCAACTACTTGGCCATTTCTGGGCTATATAGCTATCCATTAGGCTTCATAGCCTTCCAAATCATGGCACCAACTGGAATCAACATGCATACATACTGTTTCAGAAAGGGATGGATTACTCCCCTCCCCCCAGAAATGCACATATGTAACATCATCCCTCTATCCCAATCCTCAGACCCCTTTTTTATATTTCTCAGCAGCTCTGAGGCTAAATTTGGATTTCTTGGCAGAGTGAGGAATTACTATTATTAGTTCGCAATGCTTTCTGAAGCATACCTCCAATTTGGGGGGATTCCTGACTATACTACAAGTCTCTTTTTCTCCCCCTCTCTGGGGTGAACTTGAAGGCACATAACAGGAAATCCTGCTCTCCCTACCACCCCACATCCAACAAGGCATAGTACCAATAAATAAGGAATAACTAAACCAAACTCTGCGGGGAGAGAAAGAAATTCCATTACCAGGGAACTATGCAGTAAGATGCTCAAGGTAGCTCTGATGTGCTCTTGTGCCCTGTCCACCCCCAAGAAAAACCACCTGTAGAAAGAACCAAATGCTTTTCCTCAGAGCCCATCAGACACAGACTGATTATACGGATATCCAGCCAGGACAAGCCCTTCACATACTGTACTGTCACAGTTACGAAGCAAGACCTAGACAGAGCCTGTCTTCCCCCGCCTCCACAAATCCAGGAGGAGAAAGGCCTGGCAGCTTGATTTCCTTGGATTTAAACCTCGTGTTCAAACACTATAATAAAAGTGCTTGTACTTGGTCTTCTTCCTTCCCCCGCCATCAGGACTTTTGACATTCTGGAGGTACTAATCAGAACAAAACTGGAAAGGAAGAGCCTTGTTTTCAAAACATACTGCGGGCTCCTCTGCAACTGTTTCTTCCAGGAAACCAAGCCTCCACCTCTTGAGTATTTCACTGGAGCCAGGGAAGCTGGAAAGCCCAGCCCCCTCACCGCCCCCCCCCCCCCCCCCCCCCCCCCCCCCCAATGGGAACTAAACTCTAGCCAGCTCCCCCCTCTGCGGATACAAGACACCAAGAACACTGAAGGGGAAGAACATCCGGCTCTTATCAGAATCCCCAGTTAGGCTCTACCAGGACTCCTTTTAGAGCAGAGTTAGAGGCAGGCCAGAGGCTGGGAGACAAGCTATGGAAACAGGATTGCCATAACTCAAAGAAACCAGACACCCTGCACGCACCACCCCACCCCCAGGCCAAAGTGGAGGAGCCAGATCCAAGGCCTTGCTCCTGCCCAGGCCCTGGCAGGCCAACTGGCTCCTCCCTCCACCTGCCTGTCATACAGCCAAGCCCCTCAAATTACCAACACACTAAGCAAGGGCCCTGGAGAAAAGCAAGCCTGTTTTGCCACTTAGGAAGCTGGAAGGAATCTCCAAGTTAAGCAAACCCAACCCCCTCTTTTTACATGTAAGCACACTAGCTAAGCCAGAACTAAAACTCAGGTCTCTCAACCTCACAGTCAGTCCTGAGGGCTCCAAAGAATGCCTGCTGAGACCACACCGCCTTCCAAAGCCCACGGCCCAGACAAGAACATAAAGGCTAGCAAAGAACGTTTCCTATAGGTTCCTCTGCCTGCCTCCGCCTGAGCTTCATTCTGCCCTCTCATACCTGCCGTCTATCCTCAGAACACATGGCCTTCTCTACCACAAATAATACCTTCTGCATCCAACACAATCCGAACATACATCCACTTCCACCTCCTCAGCTCCAGAAGGGGCTGGGTTAGAGAAGATGGAATAAAAGACGGGACTGCAAAGGGAGATGGACATGGAGAGTCTTGGAAAAGGGAAATGTAACAGCAGAATGGGGCTGTAGGTGGAGGGCTTGGGAGGCGGGGTAATGGGTCAAACTGGACCATAAAAAACAAAACAAAACAGGAAATAAGGAGTGAAATTTCTTTCTGCATGTAGGGAATAGAAGTGTGAGGGCTAGGTAAGAGTTTGAGAATGAAAATGGCTATTGGCTAAGAACTGAGTAACAAGAGGTAGGTGAATTTAAAAGGCTGTGGCAGGTATCTTGGGTATTTTCCAGATAGTATCTGGGAAAGACTAAGGAAAACCCTGAAATCAAGGCCCTTTCCAGTTAAAGGGCTGACACCACAAAAGGAATACAATGGGAAGGGTCTTCTGGGGAGGGTTGGGGAGGCAGCGTTTCTCAGTCCTGGCTGCACATTAGAATTATCCAGGGAGCTTTAAAACTATGTACAAACAGGCTCCACCCTAAGCCATTTACACCAGGTCTCTGAGGTGGGGCCCAGGTGATTGATTTTTCAAATGTGCAGCCCTAGTTAAGAAAGACTGAGACACGTACAAGAAAAGCTGAAGACCCAGCTGGACCATTTAAGGATGGTTCTGCTAAAGGAGTGGGAAATGGCAAGTTCGGGGACATTTTAATGAGAAAGAAACCCCAAGTTTGAGAAGAACCTTGAGTGGTAATTAAAGCCCTACATGAAGAAAAGCAATAAGGAAGGCTATGTTTGTAAGAGGAACTATAAAGTCTAGTTTTAAACAAACCAAGGCACAATTTAAGGAGGATTTGCAGGGAATGGATCTGCTTGCAAAACAATGAGGCCCAAGTGAGGGGCAGAGGCCATAAGGCCAAATCTGGGGACAAAGAGGCTGGTGTGGGGAACTAATGAGCTTCAGACTCAATTTGGAGCTGGCAGCACAAATCTAGGGGGAAAAGGAGGAAGACAAGTAGAGCCAAATTGTAAATGGAAGCCATTCTGATGTACAAGAAGCAACTGGTGTTAACTATTGTGGGGCCCTAGCCGATGTGGCTTAGTGGACAGAGCGTCAGCCTGGGGACTGGGGGGTCCCGGAGTCCATGGGCACATGCCTGGGTTGTGGGCTTGATCCCCAGTAGGGGGTGTGCAGGAGCTGCCCAACAATCTCTCATCATTGATGTTCCTGTCTCTCCCTCTCCCTTCCTCTCTGAAATCAATAAAAAATATATATATTTTTTTTAATTGTGGGGAATCAGGAAATTATGGGACAGTTTCAAAGAAGAGTTTGAGGCAGAAACACAAAGTATGTTTGAGGAAGAGATGGCAGATAAGAGCTGCCTTGGAGAGAAGGAGGAGAAGTCGAGAAGAAAATTGAATGATGAATTCTGCCTCTTCGAGCAGGAGGCAGCACGAATGACACAAGTTTAGAAAAGCCATTGTGCTCTTTCAAAAAGATGTACAGCCTTTCTCTCCAATTAACAGGGGAAGGCAGGATCCGGTTTTGAGGGAGGAAACCTGCCGAGGCCCAGCGTCCAGAGTATGGAGGCGCTGGAGGTGGGGAAAGAGGGTGAGCCTCCCATCAAAGCCGGGGTGGGTGGGGGTCTGTGACCGACCCATTTAAAGACGGGGTTCAGCTCAGAGGGGAGGAGTACAAGTCAAGACGAGTTCCAGATGAGAGTGCTTACAGGGCAGGCGTGTGGAGAAGGGTGTCTGGGGGAACCCCGTCAGAGGAACAGGATGGAAGATAGGGGTCAAGTCCGAAGTGCTGGATAAATAAATGGAACTAGGTTGGGAGACAGGAAAAATGGGGCCTAACTGGGAAAGGGGTGCTGCGGGAGGAAGGAAGGGAAAAGCAGCAGCTGGAGTGAGGGACCAAGGGGAGGGCTGGCATCACTGTAAAGACTATTAGTTGGGGGGGGCGATGGGTCCAGCTGAGACCTGACGGAGGCAGCCTGACTCCGCGGTGGGAGGGGAGACGGGGGTAA